TTTATAAAATGAATATTTCATCATCATCATTTCCTGTCGTATCCGATGTAATAATAGATTGTAATGAATTCTGTGATTTCAAAGAATTTCTAATTCGTAAAACTAAATGCATCATCGGAGGAAATAATACATAGCATTTATTGAAACAATTATTTTAATCTCAATTTACAGCATTATTGTATCGAAATCATACAATAAAGATGAAATTAGAAAGTAAACAAGAAATTGAAATTTGCAAACAAAAAAATGAACCGAAATTTGTTGAGCATAAAATAGATAGCCCATTTTTTCCTTACAAATTTTTTCAATATTTCACAACGATTAATTTCAATGAATTTAGAAATGTTAATGTTATTGCGGTGAATTTAGTTGCAATAATTAAGGATTACTTCCTAAAATTTACAATAATAAAAGGAAGATAATTAACAATTATTAGCATACTATGAAAGAAGAAAAAAAAAACTAAATTATTTATAACCTAAATTCATATACCGATTGTATTCGTAATTCCCATTTTTAATTTTCATATTACTTTAAAGGAAAGAAAAAGTGAAATCTCTTGCAACACTAACTCATCTTAACTATCTTCTTCAACTGACAAAAAAAAAAAATATCGAACAAAAAAGAAAAACAAGGAAAAGTGGAAAAAAGATGATTAGCAAATAGTTGTACGAATTGGTCGATTGCCGGTACTTGCCCCGGGAGATTGTTCCTCAAACATGACGGATTGTCGTGGTGATTGAATATCGGAATGTTCCAAATGATTATTACGTATCGAATACCTGAAATTAACAAAATATACATAATATTAATTTTAAGCACATATATAATAAAAATTCTTTTTCTCATTTTACTTTCTCTGAAATTTTCATTCGATTTTTTTAATAAATCATTTTTTTTCAATCCGATTTATTAAAATATTTTATTGGATTGAAATTTATCCAATTTACCAAATAAACTACTAGAACATTTCAAAAAAGAAAAAAAAATTATTTCATCTTCAATCAATCAATCAATTTACGCTTAGAATGAAATTTTGTCAACCTTTGTCGAAGGTCAGTCTCTGGAGAAGGCAGTTGATAGCACGAACATGAACAGATCGATGCACTTTCAAAATCGATTGATCGTGCCGTATCTTTCCCCTCTTCTTCCTCTTTTCCACCATATTTTCCGCTAATTTCTCGATCAAATGGTTTCCTGACAGATGATGGGCGCTTGATTTGATGAGATTTTTGGCCAAGATGCTTTGAGACACGCACAAGTCCTGTAATCACAAAAATTAATCAGTGCTAAATTCAAAGTTAAACTACAATGCTACACATTTTTGTACTATAAATTACCATTAGTGCAAAATAATAGTTTTGATTAGCTAAAAATAAAAAATTCAACAGTTTCGAAAAGCATAAATTAGTAAACTTCTTCTAAAATTTCCAGATGTGGTAGTTAAAAAAAGAT